TCTCTCTCTCTCTCTCTCTCTCTCTCTCTCTCTCTCTCTCTCTCTCTCTCTCTCTTTAGGCGTGCAAATAATCTGAGCAATAATTTTTCAAATAAAATAAAATGATTTTGTTTTGCAATTATTAAATGAACCGTAATATTAGAGATAGACAGATAAAGGCGATCATCTCTGAATGAAGCAATAGAGAGAACACCGAAAAAATCTTGCTACTTAAGAAATTTGATTATAATACCGTGTGTATTCTTTTATGCCAATATGAAAAGTGAGAACATAAGGCCGGCGATTAAGTACCGTACACCACATCGTCTAACATCAGACGGACAGACAGACAGACAGATAGAGGAGCTTCAAAATGATTTTCTAAATCGATCGGTGCAATAAAAGGTGAGATTGTCTCAAACCCTTCTGCGTGTCACATACGTCCACACTAACTTAATATACCCCATACCACAACTGGTGTCAGGTATAAACGTGCGGTCATATTTATTATGCCAACTTCAAAAAGAGCAGTGACACTTAGTCTGGTCTTTCATTTATAAATGTAAATGTGTAGAGGATCTTATAAGCAAAATACTGTCAAAAAGTTATAGGACTATGATTACTTCGATTATCGTGATATAGTGCATTCTGAGTTATTTCTATCAGATCAAGCGGTTTCAAAATTAGGTTCCGTTTGCGTGAAGGATTTTGATCTTTCTTGACTCTCCATTACGTTAACGCACCGTGTCGTGCTATTATGCATTAATTCTTTGGAAGCTTTTCAGCATAAAGTCAACACATACACCGTTCCGTCTAATATTAGTTGACTTCTGGCTATTCTCGAAACTAAAGAAATGCCTTTGGATGAAACCGAATCAAAAAATACAAAGGATCTCATGAAGACATTGGCATGAACTTCGAGCAGACGCCGGTTAACGTACAGTTAGCTTAAAGGTAAAAAAACGCAACTCCGACTAAATCTTTGCGATTTATAGAGAAAATCTTACTATTCTTTTTGATTGCATTGTAATCTATTCTTCGATAGCGTCACAATCCACATCAGCATACTTATGTAAGTCCGTAGGTTTGCTGTCTCTGTGCGTTTGTCTCTCTTTCCTTTTTTTTTATTGGTCGGACATAATGGAATTGCACTATAATAGAGCAAAAACCCATTCCGTAATCGCTTTCGCATTATCTCGAGGTGGACTTTTATGGGTTGTTTATTCCCACTATATCTTATCTTCCTCGTCTTCGCATAAGATTAGGGAATCGGATGACGGTTTTGCGTGGCTTATGCCGCCGTTTATGCGCAGGCACAGATCGCATGCGTTTTCCTCTCGTAAAGGGCCATGCCCAGCCAAAGCTTGCTCAGTCTAACCATATATCCGTTTATCATCTAATTCGTTGTCTGTTTGCCTGCCGGTCCGACTATCTGTCCAGCCGTCTATAGAACTCTCTACTTGAGTGTTCACCTGACTGTCTGTCTGTCTGTCCGCACATCTCCTTGTTATCGACGTACTCGACATCGACTCAGAACTTTTTGAATAAAATAAGCGAAAAATCCTTGAAATCCTTCTAGGTGTTGAATACATTTGCACAAACTTAATATATTCTTGTGCAACAAGTGGCATAAGATATAAAAATTAAATTTATAGCAAAAATTGATATAAAAGCTGATGTAAATGTCCGAGTGTAAACGTAAGTCACTCTTGGAAGGCACAAATCGTAAAATTATATTTACCTTAGACTTCGCTATTCTTTTGTTCATTTCTGCAAAAACAAAATTGTCAATTGTAGACGTGTCTATTGTCCGAACGAGTCTCTTTTCTACCAAAAACTTTCACAAACACCACCATCCGTATTTTGCTAGATGGGGACCGTTTTACAATAGGACATTATAGGC